TCAGTTGACACTTGAGGTGCGCCTGTCGAGGCACAGTACCACCCCAGTTAGAATGTAAATAAGGTATAAATGTCTTCCTGACAAAAAATATACGTAATAAACCGTCAAAAACTTACAGCATCTCTTCCCACGTGTATGATGTCCTCAAAGATGACCACGCAATGACGTTCCCAGAGCGCATGGTTGATCGATAATGCTGGATGAGTGAATAGAATTAGAGCGAAAGCGTTCATCGTAAGCTCTCCAGTTCAGGGTCCTTGATGCCCACATTTCCAAAATCCTACTGCCGTAAATAATAAGGTTATGACTTTGGTCTGTATATTTTAGATTATGCACAATTTGGAAAACATGAAGGCTTGTTGCCACTGGCCGAAAGTGATGTCCTTTGGTTTCTTCTGGTCTTTAGTGAGGCCCAATGATTTTAAGAGGTTGGTTTCTGGTAGATCATCAGCTGCTTCATGGTCGGTCGTTGTGGAAGTGTTGGAAGTGCCAGGTATAAGCTCTTTGAAGGGGACATATTGTTGATTCCATATTTTATGGCATATAGTTTTTGTTAGATGTGCCGAAAGGAGATTGGATGCAACCTTACCTTGCAAGTCAACAAAATCCGGTTGCGTTTCTTGTGGTGGGATGTGCGCCGTTGCCTGTACTGTAGTTGGATGGTTGAACGGAAGGTGAGAGTGTGTCCATGGTTGCCAAGTTGGAGGGACAGCCATAGGGGCCAAGTGCCCTAGGCTGTGACGAAAAGACAATGGCTGGAAAGGGTGACCATAGGGTGGAAACACGTGTGATGGGGTGGGTGCAAATCCGTACGCATTACTTCCTGTATGTGACATCTGACCTGTGGCGTCGGGACGACCATTGGGGAATAGAGTGTAAATTCGCTCGCGCTGTGGGGTGGCTCCTTGTGCTGGAATGGCGTGTCCAGTAGTGCTGGCCCCTGCTGTTGGTCTCAGGTCTAGCGGGCTCGTAGATGGGCCCGAGTCCTCCCTGATGCATGGTTGAAGTTGATGGTCGGTGAGGTGGTTGACCTAGGTCTGCTGAGGAGGGTCTCCCTTCTGGAAGACCTGGAGGTCCGGTACTCATTTTGTAACTTCTGGAGTTCTGAAAGAGAGGAAAAGGTATATATATATATGGTGACTCCCTTGGCAGAGATGAAAGCCCTGCCAGCTTTGACATATATAGATAAATCTATAATATATATATATATATATATATATATATATATATATATATATATAATAGATTTATCTATATATATGTTCTATATAACTATGTATGCAAGGAAAGGTATGCTTATATTCATGCTGGGTTGTGATGATTGGACTTACTCTTTTTTTTCATGCCAGAGTGCGTCCCTGACGGAGCGGTAGTACTTTGTGGTGCCCCAGTGGTTTAGATGGGTGCCATCTATGTTGAGCATTTGTTTGCCATGGAGAGTTGCCCCGATGTGGCGCCAGTACTTGGCCTTATCCATGTCCTTGAGTTTATGTTTTAGAAGGCGATTGGTCTCGTCTATGGACATGTTGAAAGTAAACTCTTGTTGTTTAGTTGTTATTCTGCCTCTTGGTGATTGACAGCGGTAAAACAGCTGGCACCAGATAAAATGAAGGGAGGGATTTATGCGGTGGCATTCTCATACTAGCTGCATTGCTTGGGTCGTGACTTCAATCGGTGAAATCCCGGTGGCAAGATCGGTCTCTCCTAGCTGGCAGATGATTATGTTGCTTGCGCGGATGTGGTGTCTCAAGGGGGAGTGGGGAGCTCGCAGTTGCTGGAGAAAGCTGTATATGTTGGTGCCACGTTGACCACTGAAAGTTTCCTGGAGATCCAAATCAAAACTGTTGTCCTCCTGTGAGTATTCCTGTAGTCTTGATATAAAGCTGTGTCCCATTAATTGTAGTCCCATTAATTCTGCATTAATTGTAGAATTCAGCATGCTGGAAGGAAGGAACATGCTGGCTGGAGAACATGTTTAATGTAGCGGTGAAGTAGTGAAATATAGGTGATAATAAATAATGAAAAGTGGGGAAGCTATAATGGCTACCATGCAGGAATATGCTGAGGGTATAGGTAAGTGGACGGAATATACGGCGTAAATAGCCTGCGCTTAATAATAATAATAAGGTTGGCGGTGTTCGCCCTAGGTGCAAGGCTGGTGTAAAGAAAGATGTAGGATATGTTGTGATACCCAAAATCGTATTTATGAAGGCATATATACCCCCTTTTTAGACGGAGGTCGAGGGTGCGGTTGTTGCACCAGAGATGTATCCTTCCGCTGTGTATGTTTTGGAGTACATGTATAGCGAAGCATATGGCGTAGTAAGGACTATACGAGCTGTGTAAAACAAGATTAAATAAATGGATGCAGAAAGTGTGGTGTAGTACACGTGCATTTAGCAACTGCCGTTGGGCCAGGTGCAAGGTAATTATGCCGTGCCCAGATGCACTATATGAAAAAGCGCCATATTGAAAATGAAGTAGCAGGAGACGGTCTTACTTACTTTTTGTGCATAGCCAAATAGAGCTCCAGTAATAGATAGTATGTAAGGTAAACGCTATGATAAATGTGAATGCCAGTGAAGGTAACTTGCGAGAAAAGACTAATTTTTTTAAGTTTAGTGGTGAGGCATGCGCATGTTTGACCTTTGCTCTTTTTTGTTTACAAGCGAGCAAAACTGGCGCAAGTGCACGTCGCAGCTACTAATATAATACAGACTGCTAAAGTACCGTACTGGTACGTGTGTACAATGAACGATAATAAAAAAGGTCCTACCTTGCTTTCTTAAGCAGGTTTGTTGTCTAGTCCTACCAGTCTTGTTTCCCTGCTGTCCTACTGAGTGGCCAAAGGCTGTCTGGTTGTAAGACAGTAAAAGTTGTGGTTACTTACCCTTGTGGACCAGTAGTGACCAGCCAATGGACAATGTGATGTAATGCTCACCCTTTGAAGTGTGCATGTGCAGCCATGAAGTCTGGTGTCCAGATGTTAGATTAAGTTCAGAAGGGAGACTCCCAGTGATATAGCCAGCAAGTACTTGGTTATAAAAGTAATTATAGTTTGCAACGATAATTCTGGATTAACAACTGGTTTGGATCACAGGCAGTTCCCTTTACACTTGCTGATTCCTGATTAAAGATCCCACTCAAGCCATCCATTTTATCCATGAGGGATTTGGCCATGTGGTCAATGGACTTCACAATCTTGTCCATTGCCTGAGACATGGCAAGAAACTGATCATTTGGCACAGAACCACTGCTAGTGCCAGCTTCCTCCATCATAATGACTGGGTAGTATCTGAAAATTGGGGCACAGAGTTATTAAACCTGATGATTAGTGCTTGAATATGGGCCCAATGTTATTAAACCTTATTCACCCTGCTGCAGATCTTCCTCTTGTACTCTTCCGCCAAATGTTGCGTCCGTGCTGTCTCTTGATATCACGTGACTTGATGTTTGTGTATTGAGAGACCAGAACACAATGTATGCATTGTTGACTCCAATGTTAATAATGACACACAAGGTAGTATGAGTGACCCCCAGCATCACTGCTTGATTCTTCTTTGACATAATTCTTCTTTGGCATAATCGTCCTCAACAATGTCTGCTTCCTCTGATGAATCATTAACTTGCATATTGCTGAACCACAGGCAAAATTATAGACACTGCCTTAGTAAGAGTATCAATTTGGGCTTGTGGGTCACACAGCGAAGTTGTCGCGTACTCATAAACAAGCTGTTGTGTCACAGTGACTTCACTAATAGCTGCATCACATGATGCACTTTCCAGCCCTTTAGCTCGTGAAAAATTTTCTTTAGCTTTGATTGCCTGCATTGGCATCTCCTGTTCGGGCCTTGCTTTGTCTTTAGATCTAGTAGTGGTACTTGTACCCTTATTTGCTGCTGGAGGCCTTTTTGAGGGCACAAATTTGCTAGCACTTGCCCTCTCACTTTTGGTTAACGTTTCTGCGCTCTTTTGGGCCTCAGTCTTGTTTTGTCCATTTCTCCAATAATTGTACTGACAAGATCAGTTTTAATTGCATGTCAGTCATGGTTATAGAGGCAAAGACTTACCTATGGTCTTCTTCTTCCCACAGCGCACATCTCTTGTATGCTCATTGCAATTGTGTAGGTTTCCTGTAAAATGTCAACACTATCTTGTCTGACTTACTTAGGGTCTTTGTTTAGTCATGGTGAACAAAACAACGAAATATATAGCACCTGCAATGTTTGTTGGACAGTCAAAAAGTAAACCGAAATGGTGCAGAGGTTAGATCATTTTCTTCTCAATAAAGATCGATAAGTTTGCAGCAACAAAAGTTGTGTTCAAAGACTTCTAGAAGTAAGCTGTACGCCGACTTCTAGGACTCTTCATGCATCTCACGTGATCTCATATGCAAATGAGGGTGGTAGAATCTTTATTTTCCTTTAAAATTTTTTTTTATGTTCTTATTTCTGATTTTGGTAGGTAAACAGTTTCATTATATCATCTCTGTTTTACAGGATTGTTTATTTTTGTAAAAGTGACATAGATAGATGATATATTTCCATAATATACAAAATGTGCATATAAATATATGTGTATAAATTTCCAGCGAAACAGAACTGGGAAAACGTCTATTATGTGACCCTGTTTTAAGCTAAGTCATTCCTTGTTCATTTTTGATGCAGACACTGTTCTGAACGTTTGTCAGCTTTGCTGATTTATATTTATGTACATTTTAGTGCAAAGTTTCTTAGATCAAAGATCATTTTTGTCATTACAAGAAACCAATAGTTTACCACCTCAAATGTGATTTTTAGTCTTATGTAATAGCATGGAAATAGTTGTAATAAATTGTTTTCTCTTTCACCTATGCTGTGTTTAATGTATACATAGTTCATCACATTAAAGAAAAATATAGAGAGAAAATCAACCAAGATGTTTTAAAGAGCAAAATGATTTATATAGTGTACAAGACCAAATAAAATAACAGTTCAAGCAATGATTACATGAATACACCCAATATATGTAGTATGTCATATGAATAAACATCTCTAAGTAGAATAAGACTGACAATTCAGTATATGTTTAATAATTAAAAGAACAACTTCAATTAAAAACCAATGAATTATTGAAATGCATTTTTCTTTTACTTCTGTACTGTATAAAACAAATGTGCCCACAATGTTTTATGTACCTTTTGTTTTCAATATCCCCTTTTATTATACTGACTGGCTGTTATCAATTTATCTTTATGTGCTTTGAAAGCTGAAGAGAAGCATGCTCCAACTCAGACTTGCATCAAACTGATTCAAAAATACCTTACATCTAAAAAATGAATTAACAATCAAACTGCCTCTGTTCTTACTGATAAAGTGACAAATTGTTAGCATGGAAATACTGAACTAAAAAAATCTCTGTCAATATCCCATCACTCATGTTTCAAAAGTACTGTGTACACACATTTTCCAAAAAAGTTTGTAGTTCAGGGGAAAAGGCTAACAAAATGTCAAATGCCTGCAGACATCACCGGCATATGTAAGTGGACTGCAGATCTTATTTGAGCCATTTGCTATCCAGGGGCCACTGGGCTATAGCGTATTACAATGTTAAATAATTTATCATTTTTTAAAAACAAAATGCAATTTGTCTCACATCCCTTTACCTTTTTTTTTATTAGCCCAACTCTTAAAATGTGACTCAGCTGCTGTAAAATTATGCAAAAACATAATGATTTTAAAATCAATTATGAATGAGTTTACAATCCGTGACTTAAAAATAAGCGTGAAAATATGAATGTCTTACATACTATGTACCTATACAATACATGACACAAAGTATAATTGCACAATAAAGATAAAATAAAAGAGTGCTTACTTTGAAAATGACTGTAAGTTTGTGTCAACTGTCATGAAAGTCTTCAGAATTGTTCACTTTATTAATTTGATCCCTTTACATTTTTGTCCATTTAAATACGAAGTTCTAGTTACCAGCTGTTTAAAAGTTGCCTTTGACCTTAAAAGCACATATTAACATTGACAAAAAATGCACTTCTGATATTAATAAGTACCCAAAGAATGCAGTTTTACACACTATTGATGAGACACTATGGTTCTTAGATGAAAAAAATTGCTTTGTTTAGGAAAATAAAAGAAATCACCATATATATGAACCCATAATGTTTTAAATCTACACCAAACACTAGAGGATTTATCGTAATTGTTGTGAGACAGGAAAGTCCCTGATACTGTTTTCACAAGGGTTTTTTGACAACAATTGTTGCACAACTGTGATGAATAAAAAAATCTTTCAAACCAAATTTTTTGACAAACACTTCTTGCAAAGAAGTTCCTTTTATAATACAGTTACTGCTGATGGCACAGCACCTCATTAAAAAATAGAGTTAAGATGTAAAAAGAGTTTAAATAGTATAGCTATTCTCTACTTGCAATCTACTGTCACGTCTTTAGGCTGTCAGTCTGCCTCAGGAACTCTTCAGAAGTTAAACTGTCACAAATTCTATACAAAGGTGTCAGCTCTTCATGTCTGGGTAGCACCATATCATTATTAGCCACAAATCACTTGTTCTTGGAGTCGTAGGACAAACCTGGTGTCAGATGGAGATAAAAATTGACACTGAGAAAACAATTTGCTTAGAACTAGGACCCACCTTCTAATATCTACTAGTAAAGTGACATAACTGAGAACACAATTTAGAACTCCTGCTATCATCAAAGAAAAGAAATAAATAATAATAACAATAAAATATATTCATAACTTCTCTGATGTCATTTTACTCAGTTTTAAATTGATGAACTTTTTGAGTTAACATACCCTTTTGTTCCAAATTTTTCAACTCTGCCGCTTCATTGCGTAATTTCAGGTGTAAAATCAGCTGCATTAAATCTTCTCTGCAAATAAAATCTATCAGAATTAAAACAGAATTTCAAGAAAAATAAGGATTATCCTCTTTTTATGTCTTATGTGGATAAAAGGATAGATAATTTTTTTCCGGCAAATACTACTACTACTACTACTACTACTACTACTACAAATAAAAATGTCAAAATGCTTGCAATAATATCATTTGGCTAAAGTAAATGAGAAAATTTTTTTCTATTATTTTCTGACTTTATTAAGAACTGTTCGATCTTTTCATCTTTGTGGCTAGAACACATTTCATGTTCAGGTGAGCCTTGTGTAAGATGCTTATAGTACTTTGAATATATTCAAAATATTTTTACTCATTTACAATACCTGTGTTCTGGGTTTTGAATACCCATTCTCCCAAGTTTCATATCACTGAGCCTAATCAATGCTCTTCCTTAAAGACAAAATAAAAGAAATAACACAATGTAAAAAAATCGATTATGAAATGTGTGTGGAACTCAAATAAATTGTCAAAACAGATTAATCAAGAATACTATTTTCAACAAATTTTCCATTTTTTGCAATACTAAACAAATGGGACTTGAAAACTCATTTTTGTTAAATGCCTATTTCATATTTTTCTTTGCCAATGTAACAAAGTTTGAAAATGATACCTGATATTTCATGGTCCAAAAACAGCTGCCCATAAAGTTGATAATAATTGCCTCCATGTTTCCTCAACCATTTATTTACATCTGCTTTGCCCCAGAAATAAAGGGGCTTAGGACCCTTGCCTTTGGTGGATTTTTTGCTGGCAGGTTCCTTTTGTCTTGATTTTATGACTGTCTACAAACAGTGTCATGAATGAAGAAGATAAGCAATCATAAATGAATAAAATATACAACAGTTATACATGTAATGAATTACATTATGAAAACAAATCATTCAAATTATACAGACTTTAAGCCACTTGCAACCACCATAAAAGCTGTGCTTTGTCACATTACTCTAACAAGCATTTAACTCCTCTATTAAATCCAGTGACAGTATTTCCCATGTGGTTATACATAGTAACACTATAGTGGTTACCTTAGATGAAGCAGTCACATTCTTCACATAGTGAGGCCTAGAGAGAACCGACTCTGTGGCCTCCATCTGGCTGAGCAGGTGGTTATCAAGAACACATACTGACCCGGCCTAGCAGGAATTTCTGTGAAATTATTTTTAAGATAGGGTGACATGATGTACAGTGGCAAAGTAGGCCCTACATGTACAGTGTACTAAGTAAAAAAGTTAAAATCAGCAAAATTAATTGATGGCTTGCATTTAAACATGCGGTCTAAGTAATCTGAAAGGTGGGCCTTAAGCTTTTGTTTCTCTATTTCATATGACTCATAAGAACGCAGTTAAATAAAACTGAATATATACACTCAGTACACTGTATACTATGCACAGGCAAATATGTTAATTGCCTCAAGGACAAATCCAATGATGCATAAAATTGAAAAATAATCTGACTTTTGTTACTCTATCATCAAATAAAATTTCTATGGAATAATCAACTTGAACCATGAAAAACCCAAGATGTTCAGATGGTTAAATTGACACCAAAGCTCTTATATTATTATTATTATTATGAGGCAAATGTAAATACTGAAAATTAAATATAAATTATAATAAAAAAATTCAACGTCATTGCCCCCCATCTTATATACCGTGTAATCAAAATTGTAATTGGACAGTAGTTTACAGAGCCTTTGTACGTATAATGATACTTAATGTCCAAGAAATTTTTATTATAATCACAAAACTTACTCATTTATTACAGGTGCCATCCGTTGTTGATGTCAACTTCCTCTTGACCTAGATACGGAAGGAGATAATGCGAGACTTAGAAATGGGTCGAAATGATTCCGAAAATATTTTATCAAGTAGAAATACAATACATGGTTGTTGGTAATCGCTAACCCGCTCCTGACACTCTCTGACTATGACAATAATCAGAAATATGCGACACGTTTGCAAATTATCCATGGGTCTATGAACGAGAATGTAAGTAACCTGCCATGTGACCAACAAGTCTCGACGTGCACTAGCGCCATTTTCGAAAGTGATAGAAACGAGATCACGTACTAGTAGGCTACTTGTGCGAGGAATCTTACCATTCTAGCAGTTTGAAACACCAGCCTGTGAGTTGTCTGTGGTTTGATTTGGCAAAAGATCCTGTACTGATATTGAGCACAATGTCATAATAGGTGAGAGGCAAATGTTTGATTTTCATTGCCAGAAATCTTCGAACATTTATTTACTGAATCACCCTACAGCAAGGCTCGGGATGCTTTACAAGACGAATAAACCTTCACACTTTTTACTTCGTTTTATTTAATGGCATTGGTTGAGCCGGAGGGGTAATCTTTTGATCGTTGAAATATTATAAGCATAGCATTTACATTTCTACTTCTAGGGAGAAGGGTTTTGACAGAACCAAGATCAAGTCAAGATGGAGACTTTAACACCAGCATTTATTTCACACGGTCGTAGGTCCATTAGCACCCCCAATTCCACCTTTGCGTCCATCAACTTGGACAGCACTTTGGAGAGGAACATCAGCAGCTCAAGTGTGTCTCTTTTATGTAATAACAGCACTGACGAAAACAGTCTCCCAGCAAAAAGTTCTAGTAGTGTCCTAAAAGGTGAGAGGCAGATTTTTACCTACTTTTCTAATGAATAGAACTGTGGAGTAACAGCAAAAAATCTAAAAAAAAGTTGAAATAAATAATGCGTGGTCTAAGGTGAGCATTGTCGTTCAGGAATAGCTTATGTTTCCAGGAAATGGCCATTAAAATCCTATTTTATTTTTACTCCCTGTACACAACCACTTGCATAGCAATGTGCAAAGTACATTTATTAAAAATGCCAGAAATGGCCATGAATATATAGTGCAGGAATGAATAGAGAGAAATAAAATATATTTTCAGATGTTGTGGCATATGTTGAAGTCCGTACAAATTCAGATAACAGAAGTCAAGCTATAGGCAAGGAACTGGAAGCTTTAGGTGCCACAGTTGTCAAGAAGTTCACCAATGAAGTGACACATGTTATCTTCAAGGATGGCAAGAAAAGTACAAGAGACAGGGCAAAAAAGAAAGGCCTACATTTAGTTACAGTCCTGTGGGTGGACAGGTTGGTTCAACAGACAGAAAATAGTCATGTAAATTTTGCACATGTATTTAATTTCTTAATGTTTAACCAAGTATGTGTATACTGAAATCAGATATTTTTAGAATATTTAATATGTCATTGAAAAATGTACATAGTTCAGTGTTTTATTTACAATTTGGAACTAGAGAGTCAGATGACTCGCTGACACTGCAGATTACGAGTCATTTTTTATTTTCAGGAGTCAAAATGTTCCCGCCTTTTTGGAATGGGTAATTTTAACTATTAATGATGCATACAACCATATATTATGTAAATAGATTGTACATGAATTGAGGTTGTTTATTTGTAATTGTTGTATTCCAGACTTAAAGTATAGAATTCTATCTACAGGAACTGAAGAATACAAAAAAAAAAAAAAAAAAAAAAAAAAAAAAAACTTTTTAAAAAAAAAAAA